GCTTTAATCAGCAGGCAGAGACCAGAGAGGGCACCTAGAAAGCAAAACTGAGCTTTTATCTGTTAGATATCTATATCTGTTAGAAAGTTAGACTGTGCTGGAGCCTGGGGCTGGACCCAAAATGCAAATGGCTCAGTGGGAGTGTAAAAGTTACCTTTCTTAGGCAACTATGAAAAAGGTTTTTACAGTCTTTATTAAGAATCATTATTTTTCTTAACGTTTTCCAGCAAAATTTATATGGAGTAGTACGTACTCTTTTGGTGATGAGGGTTTTTTTAGGAATCTGTATACTCTGGCGTGTATGTATGAATAACTGAGATAGTTTTCCTGAGCATTACAGAAAACAATAGTTTAAATTAAAAATTGCAGATGATCATTGTTATGTTATAGTACCTATAAACAGAAGTATTTCAAATCTATTGATTTGGCCTGTTGAAACATTCAGTGTTTGTCAAAGTAGTGCAGTGACCCTCACTGTATCCAGGGCTGCAGCAGAACATCCATAAATGCAGATATATAGATATATAGATATGCATATATTTTGAGGAAACAAACTGCCTGGGATTCTTTGCTTTTTATGTTTAATAGGTTTTACTGTATTTATGATTATTTCAGAACATGACTTGAATCCCAATAGTTCTTTGTGGGATATGGATTACAGAAGACTGTTGCACAGTAAGAAAAACCTTTCTGGGACCATGGCCTCTTACAAACCCTCCAGCTCCTTCAGAAGCAGCTCTCTCCTGAGTTACCATGGAAGGAAAAGTTTGCTTAGTCAGAACCTGAACCAGAAGCCACAAGAAAAGCAGTTGTCCTGTGATATGCTCCTTAAACTCTCCAGATACATTTTAATGGATATCTTTAGACCTAGCTTGGCCTGGAATCTCTTTCGGTTTCATAACTGTGATCGAGAAGTCAACCTTCCCAAACTTCGTATCAGCCCCCTCAAGGTGGCCCAGCACAAGGTGAAGCCGTTCCTGCTGCACAGGGTGCTCCGGCTCCTCGGGAACATGGGAGTGCTGTTTGAAGCTCAGCAGTCCAAGGCCTTCTCTCTGCTCAAGAAGCAAATGATTAAACCAAGGAAAACGCCGTTAAAGCCCGAAGAGGAGCAAAGTGGTAGGTACACAAGGAGGAGATGTGGGTTTGGTATCTCTTTCTGGTGCTGTCTGAGCGGAATCGCAGGGCCGGCCATCACTGGATGCAACCCAGTGGTCTGGTCTGTGCCAGGAGGCGCACTCGGCGCTCGGGCTGAGCAAAAGGCAGGACGCGAGGTGCTCATCCCTGGGCAGGAGGGGCGATAGGAGGGCGGGATCCTGCCGGGCTGCGGGAGGTGTTCCCGGCCCGCGGGCAGCGGCTGTGCAGGGGCGCCGCCTCCCGCCCGGCCGCGGCTCTGCAGGGACAGGTCGTGTTCGCCCCGCGGGAGAGCGGGGCCCGTGTCCGTGTCCGTGTCCGTGGGGGGCTCCGGGCACGCAGGTTTGGTGGCTGAGCTGGCGCTGAGCGCACCAGCCCCACCCCCCCCACGGCCGGAGTTCATCCTGCGGCGCCTCCAGTTCTCTGCTCCGTGGGAACGGGGTGTTGCTCAGGGGATGCTGCCTCCGCTTCTCCTTCCTTTCTCGGAGCAGTAAGGAGGAAACAGGAAACTGCCCAGCGAGGGAGTGTGCCCGGGAAAAAATCGCTTACAGAGGAGGAACCATCCTCCCTGGAGTGCCCGGGAAAACCGCTTTCAGAGAAGGAACCTCCCCGCATTCCTGTGCGAGAGCTGAATCCCTGGGCGGGGGTGTCTGTGCCTTGGGAGTCGATTCCGTCAGGCGACTCATTCAGAGCAGCTTAGTTCTCTGCCCTTGCCTTAACATGAAGGTTCTCAGCCATCGATATTTGTTATTGAACGTTACAGCTGTGTTTGTAGGCAGAGCATCACAGTCATTGCAACGTGCCAAGACACAGGACAGTCGAGGTTGTCTTGTTCCTGGCAGCCCGTTACAGAAAATGATCCGGTTTTTTTGTTAGAAAGGTGAACTACAGTTTATAACTCACTATAGCACTCGGAGGAGGGGTTGGGTTGGTTATTTTTGTGAGGAAGAGTTACACTGGGCGTGTGTTGGAGGCAGTGAGTATTAGTCATGATTTCTCACTTGCAGGTGTGAGGATGTTCAGGAATGTTCTCATGCTGTGGATGCATCCTGTAATGGAGTGCTGTGGTATAAGCTTCAACACAGTGCTGCTGCAAAACAGAAATCAATGTGGAAAATGAAATTTGGAAAAGAGTGAAAGGAAAAGAGTTTACCTCTCGAGCACCAACCTACAGATAGTAATGGGTGCTTCTGTGTTTATCTTAAAAAGAGATAGGAATCTTTAGGAAACAGGGTAATACATCCAGTCTCATTTAGTCTGCAATTTTCTTCCTCAGGCCAGTGAAAACTTAATGTGGGGTGAAATGGCACTGAAATCATTCACCTGAGAGTAGTTCTTTCAGAAAAAGAATCAACCCAGTCTATTTCTGTGGATTCTGAGGCTACAGAGGAAAAACAGTTTTGAATTATGTAAACAGCGCTCACACCTCAAAAATTTTGGTTTCTTGTTCAGGGAAAAGTCCCAGGTAAGCAGGAGTGACTTTGGCTTTGTTGATTGTTCCATGAGGCCTGCAAAAAGCTTAGCATTAACCGAAGCCTGGCTTATATTTACCTCCACTATTACTGCGTTAGATTAATCATTGTTGCCTTTTATTTAGATTGCAAGCCCGTGAAATCTTTTGCATGAAGTAAATATTTTAAATAGCAATGTATGAGGTTTCTAGGGCCCTAGCAGGTGTGAAATAGAGGTTCAGGTCCTCTTCCACCTCAAATTTTGAACTTCTAGAACCATTGAATTCAGAGAATTTAGTGTGTTTTAAGACAAAATACTCCTATATGTCTCGTATTGCCTGAAATTTCCACCAGTAGATAAATCTTTCTCAAAAAAAATTACTATTTCTGGTAGCAGCTCTGCTTTCCCATGACCTGCATTCATATGTGTCATATTCAGATAAGGAGGAGGCACAACGCTGACTAATGCTGCTTTTTTGGAAGGAAAATGACAAAAGCTATTTGAGACAGGAATAGAAGTGCCAGCACTAAATGACAGATGAACAGCCGGTAGCAAAGGTGGCAGCTCTAACGTTTCCCAGTATTTATGGAGTACTGAAACAAGGGAGTGTTATCGGGATTTGTTTCTCTGGGCTGGATGCTTATCTTCAGATTCAGCAATTCTCTGGGTCCCAGGACCAGGTGTAAGAGAGTGGATGGGTTTTGTTTAGCATAAGTGAGTGCTGCTCCCTCTTCAGAGCTGCTGTCTGGAGCGTGGGGCATGGCTGTGCCCCACACCCACCCTCCTGCTTCCAGTCTGTTCCTATATTTTGTCTGACAGCACTTGCTCCTTATTAACATGACTATAGTCTCTTTGTGCCCTCTGTCAGAAGAAATCCTGCACCAGAATAAATTTCAGAGGTGACAGATTGGAACAGTTTGACCAGATGATGGCACACAAATGTCTCAGAGACCGACAGCACCTGTGGCTCTGCACTTCTTTGGCTTTGGCCTTGGGCAGGAGCAGTGGCTGGCACAGTTGCCTGCCCAGTTCCAGCTTGTCCTCTCTGGATGTTGTGTTGTGGAGTGGAGATGAGGGATTACAACTCTGGGAGAGAGAAGGCAGTGGCTGCAGTAAAGCAGGGACCTGTATTTATGTGCCACTCAGAAGCTCAGTTGTGCTGTATTTTAGAGCCTATAAAAAAATGTGGTGTTCTGGTACATGGAAAACAAACCAGCGTGTGATGGTCAGTGAGAGATGTGAGAGGTGTGATGATGTGACTGACAGTGCCATGTTCTTTGAGACTGGAGCCTGCAAAGCCAGGAAGGCAGCCCCAGGCCAGGGGGTTAAAAGCATATGGTTTTCTCTGAGGCTGTGTCTTGTCAGAGCATCTTCTAAGCCTTTTCCTCTCACTGCAGACTGACTACAGGTTGATTTGGAAGATGATGGGAGGTGAAGTGGCAGATACCTCTCTGCTCACCCACTGTCAGGGGAGCTTTTGCAGCTGCTGGGTTACAGTGTTGTCCATAGATCTGCCAGACACAGGACAGCACAGGGCAAAACACCCCCACGGGAAGGTGCCAGAGGTGTCAGCTGCCCCTCAAGAAGGGCCGAGGCATGCCAAGCTCCGGTAAGCACTTCGGGGTCTGGGGCTAGAGCCCCCTCAGCCCTTGGGAAGGCAGCTGGCACTCAGAAACACGCTTTGCACGGGGCTGTTAAGCACAGCTGAGTGCTCTGTGGGTCTGCACAGACCCCCCGAGGCCGCTCCCCATCACCCCTGGGAGCTCGGCGAGGAGCCCGCAGCCCCCGGGGCTCGTAGCTGGGGAAGACCTTTCCTGCTGGCAGCGGGGCTCCTCCCGGTCCCGGGCATCAGGGCGCCGGTCGCAGATATACGTCCAGGCTGGAGGGATCGTCCCCGGCTGGGAGGAGCCAGCGGCTCCGCCGCTGTAAACAGTGCGGGCACCGCCAGCGGTTGGGAGATGGATATAAATAGGGAGGCGGAGGGGAGGCAGCCGGAGCGGCAGAGCGGGAGCTGCCTGCGCCTGCCTGCCCTTGCCCTGCCTGCCCCGCTGGGTGCCCGGCAGCCCGGGCCGGCAGCTCCGAGAGGCGTCGGGCAGAGTCCGCGGTCGGCGCTGCCGGGACGCTCCAGGTAAGCGTCTGCAGCGAAGTTTGGAACGCGCCAGTGCCGCTCGTCGATCCGCCGCTGGGTTTGCTCCGCGCCGGCTCCCTCTGTCCGCGCTGCTGTTCTGGTGCCTCGCCGTGTCCGGGGTTGTGTGGAGCGGGAAGGGGGGTTCTGCTTTCGTTCTTGCGACGTTAAGTGGAGGGGGGAAAAAAGGAAAAAAAACCCAAACAACAAAACCAAAACGCATCGAAAGCAATATGTGCCACTCGCCGGCTCCGTGCACAGCCGCGGCGCACGTGTTGCGGGCGGGCCCGGGATGCAGGTAGAGGATGCGGGACTGCCCGGGACGTGCCGAGCGCGGGGAGCCTCGGGGAGCCGTGGCTCCTCCTGCCCTTCACGCCGGACCCGGAGACGGTTCCGGTCCTGGTGCCGACGCGGGACGCGCCTTGGAGCAGCGAACGGCGGCAGCGCATCAGGTCGGTACCGCGCCCCTCCGCTCCCCTCCACCTCCCGACCCCGCCGCTGCCGCCGCCCGTCTCTTGCAGGGCCCTGCCCGGAGGCCGTCCCGCACCTCGTCCCGTGGCGACCCGGCTCCGACACCCGCCGCGCCGCCGTGGTGGGCCGGGGGGCGGCCCTGCGCCTCGAGAGCTCCGCCGCCTTCCACTCCCTCGTCATCCGCGACGGAGGTAAGGGGGGCCGCCGCCGCCCCGGAGCCCGCGTACCGCGGGGGGCAGCCCAGCCGTGCCCACCGGTGGGGGCACCTCCCGGCCCGGCTGTGCGCGCACCCAGCCCCGCTCCGCTCCCCTCGCCACGCAGGGATGCTCGTGTTCGCCGACCGCCCCCACGGGCCGCCCATCACCCTGCGGGCCCGCTACATCCTCATCCACGACGGCGGGGAGCTACACATCGGCTCGGAGCGCTGCCCCTATGGCTCGCGGGCCACCATCTCGCTGTACGGGCGAGCCTCCGAGGGGGCGACTGTGGAGGGCTTCGGGCAGAAGTTCGTGGGCGTGGGTCGCGGCGGCGTCCTGGAGCTGCACGGCCGACGGCCCCGCTCCTGGACCCTCCTGGACAAGACGCTGCACCCCGGCGGGCTCCGGCACGGCCCCTACTCCTCCGAGAGGAGGTGGGGCAGCCGCGGGCTCAACCTCCGCGTCCTGGACGGCGGCACGGCGCGGGTGCTGGCGGCGGGGCGCTTCGACACCCACCTGCGGCCGGGCGAGGGCCGGCGGCTGAGAGCCTTCCTGGCCCGGCAGCCCCCCGGCAGCGTGGTGGCGGCGGCCGTGGGGGACTCGGCCGCCCGCAGCCTCACGCCAGAGACGCGGCTGCTGCTGCGGGACCGCCTGGGCAGCAGGTTCATCGCCCGCCTGGGATACAGGTGAGGCGGGGGCGGGAGCAGAGGGGGGCGGGAGCGGAGCCACCATGGACAGCTCCGCGCGGGGCCGCGCTCCGCCGGGGGCTCGTCCCGACCGAGGGGCGGAGCGGGGCTCGGCAGGGCCCGCGGGCGGGGGCGGAGGGTACCCCGGGTAGGGGTGCGGCGGGCAACCCGTGCCAGAGGGAGGGAAGTCGTGTCGCTCTGCTTGCTCCCTCCTTCCTAAGATTTCTGCGGGGTGGAGGGTTCGGGATGTCACTGGTTTGCTCCTTCCCTGTCTCCTTCAGGCAGCCCTGGGCGCTGGTGGGGATCCTAGGAGGGGATCAGCTCTCCACAGCAGAAGATAAGCGGGAGTATCACGGGAATGGAAAAACGGGGTTAGCCATAGCCAAAAGAGATTTCCTCACCTACGACGGCACCCGTTTCACTGTTACTGCTTTCAGTGGGTGGATAAAAGGTTCGGTCTTCCCTGACAATTGCTTGTCTTCTGTTGCTTTGCTTTTTTCGGCTGCTGTGAATCTGAACAGTGAAATGATAATCATACCATAATCTTTGGCTCGCATGGACAGTGACCAAACTAACAGCAGTTCTCTCTCAAAGTAACATTTTATCTGCCCACAAAGAGATGGCACTGGCATAGTTAATGGCTAGAGCACTTTTATCATGCAGAGTTATCTAGACAAAAATTAAATTGGTATGCTCTTCAGTTAATTGCATGATTCTGTCATGTGCAACTGTAAAAATAATTGATTGCTTCATTTTTCAGGGGTGCCTCATAATGGATTTAAAGTGGAAGTGACCAAAGGTATAATTATTCATCTGGTGGATGAGGTTACAAGTTGGCTACCTGGTGACCGTATAGTCATTGCCAGTACAGACTATTCTATGCATCAGGCTGAAGAGTTTAATCTCCTTCCTTGTCCTGAATGTAAAAGTAATCAAGTGAAAATTGATGGTACGAAATATTTTTATCAAACTAATTGTTTGTAGTAACTATTTACATTGTCTCATCTTTTACATTCTAATTACCTTTTTAACACATGGGTACATATGAGAGCTGAAGGGCCCAATATTGTATTGGGATATGGAAGTTTGTTCAGAGGCAGCAGTCCTCTGTAGAAGCCTGAGGAAGTGTTGATCTCTTCTGGGATCAGGTACTGGGCACATCCCCAGAATTGGTGACTTCTTAAATGAAAGGTGTACACTTACTCAGAACAATACAGTAACAAATACACTGTGCTCACTCTGAATTAAAAGGTTTGTGATTTCCACAGGCAACCCACTTTATCTTCACATGGGAGAAGTCATAGATGGTGTCGACATGCGGGCAGAGGTTGGTCTTCTCACTAGAAATATACTTATTCAAGGAGAAATGGAAGACTCCTGTTATGGGCAAAACCAATGCCAGTTTTTCTCTTTTGATACATTTGGAGGACACATAAAAGTGAGTAACTTTTAATGCATGTGCTTGTAGGCGGTTTCAGATAGTTCCTTTCCTTTGTAAACAAGTGAAAGGATTCATGCACGAAACTAACATTGTGTCTGGGGGAAAAGGTATATCTGTCTATGAAGAAAGGGGAAGTTTGTTGGCTTGTTTTGCAACGGACTTGCTGTAAGTTTGTTCCATTTTCTTCACTGTGTCTGCGAAAACATACCCTTCTATGGGTTAGAGGGGATTCTTTAGCAGCATTGCTGTCAGTAGAGTTAATGTGAAGTTAGTTCACAGGGTACCACTGAAGCAATTGTGCTTTCTGCAGAGCACACTCGCTCCCTCAGAGAAGTGCTGGATCTCACCCTGTTATGCTTCATGTTCTAGGTGGAGGCGCTCTTGCTGTGGTGGGGGCTTTATATAAAACTGCTCCTCCACCAGTCGGTGGAAATCAGGGAGCTGTGCAAGTCTGGGCTAAAAATCACTTAAGAGTAAAAGCTGCCAGGAAATAGAGCCTGGTAGCAAATGCTCCCCCTTTCTGTAGTTGGCAGGAGTACCGTGTCTGTCACTGCTATTGCTAAACACTGCACATGCTGTTTGGCAGCTGCTCCTTGGCAGCCCTGAGCCCGTAGGTGTGCAGCTGCTGGCACAGGGCTCTGCAGGTCCTGAGCTGATGTGAGTGGAAATAGGGAGCTGACACTTCCTCCTGGGATCAGACCCCATTTTACTCTGTAAACATATTGCCTGATGAGAGAAAAAAAGCCCAAACCTGTTTTTCTTTTTTGTGTGTGTTTCTATTGTAATGCTTTACTTGGATCTACATTTGTCTCAACAGATCCTAAGGAATTTTAGCTCTGTTCACATGTCAGGAGTGGAATTAAAAAACATGGGGCAGCAAATCCTAGGCAGCTACCCGGTGCATTTTCACTTGGCTGAGGATGTGGATGAGAGAGGAGGATATGGACGCCCAACGTACCTCGATAACCTGGCTATCCACCACTGCTTCTCTAGGTGTGTTGCCATACATGGAACTCATGGCCTTCTGGTAGGAGACATATTTTATTAGTACCAAGTTCAGCTCTTTGCTTAGCCAGTGCTAAACAGCACATGCCATTTGTGATGTAAAGAGAAATCAGAACATTGAAATAAGGCATCTTTTACCCAAGAAATATACCAACTTCTCAATTTTATTTGCCTGGTGTTGGAGTTAGGACTGTTCCTCTGGTAGTGCAGTTCTTTGAAATGAATGTAAGCTTCTTAGCATAGCCTAATTAATATTATCAAAGGTGTGATCAGATGTAGTGAAATCTTTGCCTTGGTAATTCTGGACAATTTGTGATAACAGGAACTTTCATTTAAAATTAAAGCAATGGACTTTAAATGGAGTTGGCTGAAGCAATGGACCTTTAATTTTCAATGGTGATAAAAAAAGACAGAGGTTGTTCAAGTCAGGGCAATGTGAAATATATCCAAAAATGTTCACATGACAAAGGGAATGAAATATGAGCAGGACAGACCCAAACGACCGCTTCAGTGCCAGAAAAGACCTCAGGAACTTGGCTTTGACCTAGATCCTCACAAGGGCATTGTAAAGAGGAAAGTAAAAAAAAAAAAGAAGGCTTTAACAACAAAAGAATCTCAGCTGGAAAAGAAAGATTCCTGCTCCAGTCCCAACAGGTCCAGTTGCTGTGTGCTCTGCAAGATCCTGTGTAGTGTTTTGGTACCTGTGGGCATTTCCTCTTCACCTGGTGTGTGCTCACCCAGAGACATTCCCTGAGTTATCCATGACCTCCTGTGTTTTTCCTGACAACTTTTTCTCAGTCCTGAAGATAAAGCTGTGTAAGACACAACATACATGTGCTCTGTGTGTGAAAAAGTCCCCCTGAAAGGATGCATTAATGAAAATGGGATGCTGTACCATTTGGGAGCACTGTTCATGTATTCTAAACTTGATTTATATTGTCTATATCACTCACAATTATTAATTGCCTTCTAATATTCATCATTTACTCTGTCTGCAGAGCCCAATTCTGTGTAGAGAGCCCTTAGGTTGTCAGAAGACTTGTCTAGTACATGTGGATGTAGTTTATTTCTTTCTCCTCCTGTGGGTATTGAACCTTTGGAATTGAAGTAATCTGCCTAGGATGAAAAATTAAGCTTTATGCAAATAATGGTCCTTTAAAGAACAGCGTATGGTCTTGCTCTTTATCAGAAAGGAAGTTATCAAAGGTTTATCTGGATATGTGGGACGAAAGAGTTGTGAAATCAAGACTCAGAGTGTGAGACTGAGCCCTACTCATGTGATTGCTGTGGGCTTTGAGCCTGTGAATCAGTGAATAGATTTTAAATATGTGATTTAAAATGTGATTCTGTGGAAGAAATGTGGTTTTGATATATAGTCATTAAAAGAGTAATTAAAATGTAATAAAAAGCCTTGCTTTAAAATGAATTAAAATATTTGCATTTCCTGAGAAGAGTATATGTATCAGAGCAAGGCAGTCAAATAACACAGAGGGCAGTTAAATAACATCTGATGCTTCAGCGTCAGATTATGAAACTCCAGCCCTTGAGGCAGAGTAAACCAGAGAGGTGGTTTTCCCCATTCCTGTCCTGAGGGTTTAGAAGACGTAATTTTTAGAGGGACATTGGTTGGTACTCTGCTGTGCACGGGTTATGCAGAGCTGCCCGCAAGGCCCTTCCCCATCTGCTGCTCCGCGTGCCAGGCTGGTGCTGCTCTGCAAGCCAGCGGCAGCTTGGGTTCCTCACGGAAGCTGCAAACAGGCTGTGACCTGCCTCTGTGGCCAGACCCACGTCAGGCATGTGCAGGCTGCTGCAGTCTTTCATGTCTGATGTTGCAGTGCATAAAGGTCACTTATATTGTGTTGCTGAACTATATATAATTCAGTGTTTAGAGGCACCTTAATCATCTGCTCTTGGACACAGCAGCAAGGCTGCAGCCTGTGTTGTGGACAGTGTTTCATGCTGGCACACACACTAATGTGCCACTGTGACAGTGCTGCAGGTGGGTGCCTTTCCAGGCTTGTATTTTCTACTGGTGGTATGCTGGAATTGACTGGGGTTTTGTTCTGATATGTGGACCCTTATCTTCCAGTGCAAATGGAAGTGATCTTTTAATCACGTTATTTCTAGTCAGGAGAGTGATCACTCTAGTGTCCTGTGTGTAACTTTTCAGGCCTGCCATGCAATTCTGAAGCTGGGACTAATCATATTAATTAAAGCTAAAATCTGGTTTTGGATACAAGTCTGGTTTTTCATGGAGCCATTTGAAGCACAGAGTAGCCAAACTGCAGCTAAATGCAGAAGAATGAAACTCTACAATCGAAATGCTGTTTAAAACAATGAGTGGTTTGTTGTTAGTGTTCTTTCCAAAATTAATCCTCCGCGGCCTCCTTAGCGCAGCTTCTGCCCATCATTTGGGAGAGCAGAAGTAGCCAGGCTTATTGATCTTAGCAGGCTGGCAGAGACAGTTGCATTTTTGTCTAAATCCATTTCCTAGATCTGTATTTCCCAGACTTGGCTGGCAGGGAGGGACATGTTCAGTGTTGCTGTACGTAGGTTCTCTGTCACTCTCCCTGCAGCTCATTCTGAGGAGCTGTACCTGTGTGCAGGGTCAGTGGATTTCCAACACTCCATCAGTAGAGCTGTGTTGTGGTGTATTTTTAACTCTCTTTTGAACACCTCATTGAGGGAGAAACAAGAGCAGCAGATGAAAAGTCAGAGGGGTGACTGCCAGGAAAACAATGAAATCCAGCAGAGATATACCTATGGGGACTATACTGTTTGTGACTCCAGATGTTATGTACAGTTGCAGCCCATTAAAGGGAAATTACAGGATATGATTCTATGAAATGGATTTATTTCAAGTATCCCTCTGTATACAAAAATAACCAAGTAGGTTAATATTAGTTAATCTTGCAGTCTAACATAGACATAACTGACGTCAACAGGAATTTTGTGTGCCTGGAGAGGGAATATATATATGCTGACAGGGATCATTTGAGTACAAAGTTAAGATTTCAGAAAGATTTAGTAACAAATAGCTGGTATTTTAACTAGCCTGATCTAGTATTTAAATTTAAAGGAAGGATTTCTGAATTTATCTTCATAAGACTGTACATCAAAGGAGGATTGTGCTAAGTCCTCTTGGTCGAATTAGGGTTTAATGCAATATCCCTGAGCATGTCAATTAATATTAAATAGACTGAAATGGTAAAATATCATCTCTGCCCAAGATGATCATTACAGGAATGAAGTGGCCAGGCACCTTCTGAGAATGGAGGAGAAAAACAGAAATCTCATTAATATAATTTACTTCACGTTTAAAGAATTTTTTACTTTATTTTGGAAGTGTTGCAGTCATGAAAATTTCTGGATTAACCAAGCTAATTTGTTGGTTTATCATGCGAGACACACTTATATTTACGTATCTTTATGCAACTAGTCACTCCATGACACTGACTCAAATATTCTCTTTTAGAGCTGAGGGCGGTTTTAAATCAAGCACTTTGAATTTTTCCTTTAATTATGCATGTGATCTTCTTCAGAGTAATCTTAATAGCAGTTTTGCTATATCAGATCAGTCCACAGCTATGCACACTGCATGTACTTCGAGTCAGCTCAGGGACTGATGGAGGCACCTCTCGCTGTGCAGAGGGGTGGCAAACCCGCTCCATCAGTGTTTTGGGAATTTATTGCTAAGCAAAGCACATCAGTTGTAGCTCCTACTGTAGCCTGTATCCTTTTTCCCAGGTAAAAGACACCATTGGCTATGACACCCTGGGGCACTGTTTCTTCCTGGAAGATGGGACGGAGCAGAGGAACACCTTTTATCACAACCTGGGCCTTCTCACAAGGCCGGGGACGATCCTGCCTTCGGATCGCAGCGAGCTCATGTGCCTCGCCATCCGCAGCCACGTCCATGGGAATTACACTCCTGTGCCAAGCACTGACTGCATGTAAGTGCTCCAGGAGCTGTAGCCAGGTTTTGCACTTACATTGTGCTTATAGCTGGGTCCTGGAGAATGGTGTGGTGAAACTTCAAAGGTGCTATTTAATATGAAATGAGAAATTGTAGCTTTTTCTACCATTTTTCATTTTAAAACTTGACCATGTTTTGCTTGCAAAGATATCTACTAACACCTGCATGAATCCTAGGCAAGGAATATTTGCTGGTGGTTATTCCTGTCACTGTTTTTAGAGAATCATGGAATCACAGAATGGCTTGGGTCGGAAGGGACCTTAAAGATCATTTAGGTCCAACCCCCTTGCCATGGGTAGGGACACCTTCCACTAGACCAGGTTGCTCAAAGCCCCATTCAGCCTGGCCTTGGACACTTCCAGGAATGGGGCATCCACAACTTCTCTGGGAAACCTGTGCCAGGGCCTCACCAACCTCACAGTGAAGAATGTCTTCCTAATATCTAATCTAACCCTGCCCTCTTTCAGCTTAAGACCATTCCCCCCTGTCATATCACTCCAAGCCCTTGTCAAAAGTCCCTCTCCAGCTCTCTTGTACCACCTTACAGGTACTGAAAGGTGCTCTAAGGTCTCCCTGGAGCCTTCTGTTCTCCAGGCTGAACAACCCCCCACTCTCTCAGCCTGTCTCCATAGGAGAGGTGCTTCAGCTCTCTAAATCATAAATATGTTAGAGCACTTTGCTCATTTCTGAACACCTTTCAGTTCTTTCTGAGTACGATGTTAAAGGCTCCATGAAATCTTTCTGATAAATGCAAGTTTCTCCAGCCCTAGTATAGGCTGGCAACACAGTTTAGCAGAGGAAATTTGTATTTTCATATTTTCTGTAAAAGAATGCAGTGGACAAACTCTACTTAACTGAATTAATTGCAGTTATTGTTGCTGAAATGCTAAGGCTTCTTGTGTGGTTATTACAGATCTATTTTGCATCTCTTCAGTGGATTTTTGATTATTTAACAGTTAAGGTGGATAAAAAATGTTTGAAAAATCTCTGCTTAGAATGATCAAATTAATTGGTACAGTCATGAGAGAAGGTTTACAGTGTTTTTACATGTGGTCTTTATTACTGACAAAGATGTTACCCAATGAAGTAAGACAACAGATGACAATGTTTCCATAGCTATATTGGCTTCTGTTTGTACCACTACTGATCTTCCCTCTGAAGAAAAACTCCTTATTGGGACAGACATAAAAATTATATCTCCTTAATCTTCTGCTTAATGGGTTATTTGCGGCTTGCAAGGAGAGTTGTTTTGTTTTGGTTCCCACAAAAGCTTCAGAAATTCATAGAGAATCCCCTAACTCCTGCCATTGCCCCTGAAATTTCAAAACACAGACCAAAACTTTCACTTTCAGACATTTTCCAAAGCTGCTTAACTTAAAAAAAAGATCCTGGATTTCCTTCAGCTGCATGAACAGAGCATGGATTTTGTGTTAATGCTCTCATATAATTTACAATAGGTTCAGCATGTGGTTCCATAAATGACCATGTCTGACATTACTAGATGGTTTCTTTTCCTTTAAGAGTGTCATTAAAAGGTTGTGGGGAGTTTTAAAGTCAATAGGAGAGTTGTGGCTCAAGTCCAGTGAAGTGCTATGAAAATGTATCCCTTCCTGTTTGGTAACTGCTTAGGATCATTTTGATTTTGGTTTTTCAGGGCTGTCAGCACGTTCTGGATTGCAAATCCAAACAACAATTTAATAGAGAATGCAGCAGCTGGTGCTCAGGTAACCATTTAATGGCAGAGCTACGCTTTGCCTCCAGTTCCCATATATTCCACTTTTATTGGTGTCATTAGTGTGAGGGCAATAACTGTAACATTTAGATATGTACTTTTGCAACCTTTGTCTCTGTAAAGAACTTCAGTTATTTTAAGATACTGTAAGTATTTGCCTTCACTCCTCCACTGACTTCTCTCACAACTGTAACTGGAAATGGTATGTGATGTCTCTTAGCAAATGTTGATTTTTATTAGTAGTTAATAGTTAAATGCTCAATCAAATTTTATATTTGTGTGTATAAATATACACTCTCCTTGTATTATCCTTTATGTTTACCCAAACCGTGTTTGTGTTTAATATGCCTGTACAGATTGGCTGTTTTCTAATACACCACATGAATTTCACCCACAATAAATGCATTTTTTAAATCCATGTGTGTGCTCCCCAGGGACCCACTGTGCATGCCAAAAGATAAGCTGGGAGGTGTAAGAGTCATGGGCTTGTGTGTGTCCCCAAGGACCCAAGTTTGGCAGGCTCAGGTTAGAAATCTGGCCAGCACAGTGTGAAATCCTAAATTCCCCAGATAATCTGTATCATTAATTGCAAGGTCCCATTTCTCAGACCTCCCTTTGTCTTCTAGGATGTCGGGATATGGTACATCTTCCACCGGGTTCCCACTGGACAGTCTGAGGGGCGATATCCAGAGGGACAGGCTGAACATACCCCCTTGGGAGTATTTTACAACAACAGAGTCCACTCCAATTTCAAGGCATGTGGATGATTTTTATGTTTCTATCAATGTAATAGTATGGCATGGGGCTGACTGCGTGTGCTTCTCTGAAATCAGATGATTGTGGGTGTCTTACATTTTGATAAAATTCTTTTTAACACTATATGAAGACACAATCAACTTTTGGGGGTGATGGTCTTTTTAATTATTAAAGAGGGAGCTGAGCAGAACGAAGGTCGCATTCCAGGCACTTCAGTTGCATGGGTGCATTAGAGGGGATGTGCTCAGGCCATAGGTACACCTACTGCTAAATGAGATTTAAGGAAAGACAGGCAGCACACTGAGCACTGCTGTTGGCTACAATGGTGCCAGGATATAGGGGGATGAGCAAAAGTCCTTTGTGCCAGGGCCTGCTCATCACCTCTGGAAAATGAGACCAAAAATTCAAGGATATTTCCAAGAAAAGCACTTTCCTCCAATATACTGTTTACATGAAAACATAACCTGTAAGTTATAAAATGCATTTTTAACTCCTTTCTCAGGATTCTATATTGAAATCAGTGGTGTTCTGTGTGACTTGTATATTTTACATCTTGGTCTAGGGCAGTTGCTGCTCTTGCCCAAAGCCTGTAAGTTGGCTACAGCAGCTCATGTTCTCTTTTGACTGTCAGGGGACTTGTCACTTGTTATTTGAAGCCTTAATTCTTAACAACACTCTTTTTCCAAAAAGTTATCAAGAGCTTGGCAGAGTCCCTTATTGCTTTCTGCGAGGGAGAGAGAGAGTGGGAGTTCAGAGCCTTGCTTTGGGTCAGAAGACAGCCCAAGATGCTGATGCATAACATATGGCAGGGCAGGCTCTGTCCTGACTTCAGCGTGCTACATCCTGTGCTAATGTCATGCTGAGCAGTGCCAAGTGACACCGAAAGGGAAGAGAAAGCCCAGGCTGCAGGCGCTCCCTGTGCCTGCACGCACTGGCTGCCCACATTCATTGATAAAAATCTGGGCTCTCTGGTCTCTGTTGAGCGATCTGTTAAAGTAACTGGAGTCATGTGCATTTTCAGGCTGGTTTTTTTATTGGAAAAGGAGTAAAGACAACAAGAGCCAACGCTGAAGATCCCAGAGAGTATCTTACTGTCGATAATGCCAGGTAAGCACATGCTGTATGGCTGAGTATTTTGGATGGTTGTATTGCTTCTTGGCTTCTGCATTGCATTTAGCAGATCATTAATGCCTCGTTATGGCTGGAACGTCTGAGAAAAGCACACAAGCTATCTCTCATGTGCAGAGGAAAATACTCCACAGATATGCACTGAATTGTTTGTGTTATTGCTGACCAAAAAGGACACACGTGCACTTGGGGTTATGAGGACTAAGCAGTGAAGCATGTGAAAGAGGATCTAGATTTCATTAGTCCATTAGTGAGTTTGTAAACTCTAACATTTATTACTAATTACTTAGAAGAACTTACATCTGAGACGTGATGTAAGAGACTGCTGAGACTGGTCTAGGATTAATGAAGAAAATAAGTAGCCTCAAAGGTTTTTGTCAGCTGCTTTGAAACCCCTGAGCTTCCTTCACAGGGTGGAAGCAGGTAAATTAAGGCTGTTTTCTCACTCACTGCAGTCCTATGGGTGTATGTGAGGAGGTTGTGACAGAAATCAGCTGATGCTCCTGGTCAAGCCTTGTTTTTTTCTCTCCTCCATTATGCTCTATCAATGCCCCATAGGATGTTCCCACAAGGCTGAAAGGAAAGGATGAGTATGTGTCCCTTGTGAGACTTCCCTGCCAGGGTCACCCCCTTGGGCACTGAGGAGACATGTGCCTCAGTACATCAGCTGGAAGAAATGGGAGGTGAAGGTAGACTCAGATAAAGCAACAGCGATTTTATTTCCAATTTGTCCAAATCTACCATTAACAGCCAGTATGGCAAGAAACAGCCTGTGGGTAATTGAGATGGACCCAGTTCCCAGGGTGAATCCTTTTTTCTTTTGACAGCTTCTCTTTCAGCAGACAGAGAAGCATATGGAGGTCTGGTCTGTACAGGCAAGGAGAGCAGCTCCAATTACTCTGTTATCTTTGCTGAATGAGATTTTTGAACGTGCCTAATTGATTTTCTAGCACCAACACAGGGATTCTCAATGTAAGGACATCTACAAAAGGACCCAAGTGACTTCAGAAAAATGTTTTCTATGCCTCTAAATCACACTGAATCAAACTAAGGAGTAGTTGTGGGCCAATTGTAGTCTAGTGAGAACTCACCTGCTCATTTCACTGGTGCCAGAATTTAATCCTTATGAATGTTTCTTGTTTTCTGCTTTGTACCAAAGCACAGAAATGAAATCAGGCTAATGGCCTGACTCTGATCCAGACCATATCACCTCTTTAGATCCACCATGCCAATATTTGGAAGCCAAACAAGGTCTGCTGGGCACAACTGCCTCTGTCTGAGGTCAATTCCTGTGTCTCCTGTGCTGTATTAACTAAGCTTCTCGCTTCAGGTTTCGCCCACATCAAGATGCTGATCCTGAAAAACCACGAGTTCCTGCTGTGATTGATCATCTTATTGCTTTCAAAAATAATGACCATGGTGCCTGGGCCAGGGGCGGTGACATTATTTTCCGCAACTCAGGGTAAGTTACTGTAATGACCTGTTCTATCATTCCCCTCACAGCAGACATAAATAGGTCTGTAGGCCAAATTCACTGCAGACATTCCTCATCATTTACACTATTGTGTTTCTTCTGTCCCAGGTTTTCAGACAATGGAATTGGACTCACTCTGGCAAGGTAATTTCCTAAAATAGACTTTCTTCCCATTATTTTTCCTCAGCGTAACATGCTCAAGAATAGAAGCTGAGACGCTCCCCTGGTAATTAGTATTAGACAGGAGAAAAGCTCACATTTCCCTCTCAGACCACATCAAGTTGTCCCTGGGCAACCATTAATACAAGGGGCAATTTATTCTTTCTCTTTGTCTCAGCATGTCTGGGGAATACATCATAATGGCTGGATATTTCCTCCTGAATGGGAGGTCCTGAACGGGAGGTCCCGATGCTGAAGCACGAAGCTACCTTGGCACTAACTTGCAGGTTTCTAAACGTACTTCAAGGCAGCTTCTTATAGCAGTGCATGCACCTTCTTCCAAAATAAAGAAAAACTCCTTCTGCGTCTGTGGTATAATTAAAAGTGTTAATTAATCAGTAGTGCTGTGCTGCATGGTTACATGTTGTTTCTCTGCTTGCAGTGATGGGACTTTCCCGACAGATGAAGGCTCCAGCCTGGAGGTTACACGCTCAATTTTTGTTGGAGAAAGCAGCAACTTTGGCTCCCAGGGAGGCCAAAACAGCTACTGGGGAAAAGGGGCAAATGGAGAATACAGAACACTGCCCAGAAACAAGTGAGTTATTCTTCTGCCATTTCTTCCTGGCATGAGTAAAAGCTAGAAGAAAAGCCTTAGGAATTAATGTCACTACTGATGAGTAATTTATTCCAGGTGTTTAAATTACTGTACAGGCCAGAAATAATAAGCATGCAAATAAACTCACTCTTTAGGCCAACAGCTTGAGAGCATTCTTGAGTTAATGTGTTTGATTTAGTTTTCTCCTTAATTTATTAGTCACTGGAGAATGGATTAGACAATCTGAGATATACCACTGGCTTTTGTGTAGTGCTTCAGTAGCACAGCACTGAGGTGATGGTGCAGCTCCCATACACCATGATACCCTCCCTCTTGCAAGTGTAGGGGAAAACACGGCTGGTTTGACAAAGGAGAAATCATTTTTATAGCATCTTCTTTCTTTTTTGACAGCTGTATGTTATTTTCCATTTTCAGCAGCACAGCCTCCTCTCTAGCAACTACAGTGCCTACCCCTATCCTCACAGCAAGGTGTGCTTCTCCAAGCCTAGATTCTACCTTAATGTTTGGTTTTGGTAAAGCTTACCAATTATTAAACCTTCCACAAGGTATATAAAATTAAGCAATAGGCAGTACTCATTAGATATGCCATGCACACAGCCCTGGCTATACATGTCTCGGCCATAAGTGATAACAGGAATGGGATCTCTGTAGGACAGTAAGAATAATCAGATCTATCCTCAGTTATTATTGGTGATTTTATTGAAATTGAAAAAAAACCTCTTTTGCAGTTCAGACAAGCTCTAATCACGTTTTTAAGCAACATGCTCTTGGAAAGGGGTATGACAGAACATCTGATATCTGTCCTTCTGCACTTGCTTCCAAGGAGACACTTGCCTCCAGGGAGTCTGACTGCTATCATTTTCCAGTCATGCTCATGTTTTCCTGAGAAACCTGCCTGCCCCGGAACAAGGAACCTGATGGCAATGCTGACATACAGCCCTTTGGGTCTTCATCGTGGTGATGAACTCCTGGGTGGCTGGGGGCAAAGGCTTTGAGCTGCTTTACCCCAGCCTGCAAGCCTTAGGCAAGCTTATGAGTCAAGTTTTTGGCTTTTGAGCCTCATCCTGTACAGGATCTTCAGCAGAGTTTCATCTTTCCTGTGTGAGGAGTCTTCAGATCCCAGATTTGGGAAAGAAAAGGTGGTTTAGCTGCTTGTTAATATCCTTCTATGCTGTCAGAAGACTCGGAGTTTTCCTAAACTTTTAACACAGGACTGTGTTGGTATTTAAATCTCCCAGGACATTCCCTATTCGTGGATTCCAGATTTATGATGGGCCTGTCAGGATGGCAAGATGCACTTTCAAGAAGTTCACCCCAACTGTTGACAGACACTCAAGTGCCATTGGATTCTTCATGAAAAACTCCTGGCAGATCAGCCCCCAGAACAATGTGTCGCAGATCCTGATGGAGAAAAGTGTAAGTAAGAGAAACAGAAATGTGTGCTGTGTAGATGTGCAGGTTTTTGAAGTTTTTAGAAGTGATGAGAGATCTATCCCACAGCAGGATTTCCAAGCCGTGGTGCTTGTTACATTGGTACATGCCAACAATTTATTTTGCAACACTTTTTTTTTTTTTTTTAAATTAAGGTTATTTAATAGGCAAGTAAAATATGATGATACCTTATGCCTGGGCAGACATACATAAAATAACTGCATTGGAAAAAGGTTTCACTCTGTAACCAGAAGACCCAGAACACAATTCTTAGCTGGTGTAGCACTGCCAGCTGCTGAGGACCTGGTGAGGACCTGGCCTCAGAGGCTGAGAGGGTCACACATGAGATGTCAGGAGCTGGTGAGCTGCAATACAGTTCTTCTACAGAAATAGCAAATGCACTTAGAAGCAAAGCCATGACCCAGTTTCTGGGATCAGCTGTGAAATTCCTGTTGAGCACAACAGGGACTTGCTTTGAGCTGTGACAGCAGAATGAAGCTCTGTATCTCTGCCTTGGCAGGAGCTGTAGGATGCTGAGCAATTCCAGTCCTTGTCCTGGATTCCTGCAGGGATCATGACCCTGGACACTTGGCTTGGGAAATGACGGATTCCACCTGGCTCGCTCCCAGGGGTCGTGACCTCTCCTTAGATTTTTTTCAGACAAGGTCCATACTTGTTATGATGTCCATGAACTGTAGTAACTTTGGCTTGAGGTTTGGCTTTATCTTGAGGAAAATTTCCACTGCTCTGAGATTGACCAATATCACCCCCTCTGACAACCAGACAGTTTGTGTCCCCTCCCTGGGACACTTCAGACCAAGAACCTTCATGAGAGGATGACGTTGACTGCAGTCACTTGACTGCTCCCCTAAAGAAAACGCAGTTAGTGTATTTTGGTAAGGAGATCTTAGTTACCTTAGATGCTTTATGGAGCTTTGGAATAAGGGCTAATTTGCTGTACCTTCTTCATGTCCTCCCTTGGGGAAATGGTTATGAGATGGTCATGGGGAACATGAATGAGAAAATCAACCTGGGACTGGGGAGGGGAGCCTAGAGAAAAAAAGTCTGATCAGTGGAGTAGAAGAGAGTGGAAAATTTCCTCCAGTAATGGCTGTAGGACTCTGTCCACCAGAATGGTTTCAGACGGTTGATATCTATGAACATTACACCTTGAATGGCTGAAAATGCAGCTCTTTAATACAGTCACACCATTTGAGGTCAATGAGCCTGTCAAATATCCAGCATTTTTTGTCTGAGAGGCAGTTTAGTACTGCAAAGTCTTTAAGATACAAGGTTTTCAAAGCAAAAATGGCCTGAAGACATCCTAAACTCTTCTGTAAAGCAAATTAATGTAGTGGAGTGTAAGCCTATTACAAAAAAACCTAAACAAACCCAAACCATAATGACATTATCCCAAAAATTATTTATTGCGTGTACATTTCCAAAAAATATCCATTTTTAAATTTGGTATTTTACCAACTTAAAAAACATCTATATTTGTAAGCACCTGCATCCCACCAATTTTCACTTTGATTCTGTTTTATCTGGATTCAACCCAGATGTGCTACATCTGATTTCAGACTTGAAGGGCCACAGCCTGTTTATTGTTGTTCATTGCTATATGGGTTAATATATCTTTGACTTGTTAAGATAGAGCCTGTAGACAATTTTAATTAATTTTCCATCTCCAGGGTTCATTTTATTACTTTTTAAAGGGTGGCTAAGTAGTAATTCCCTAAAGGACATCATTTTACCATAATTTTTTAAGAAGAAATTAAACATTACTGCAAGTTTTATAGTGATGACAAAACTATTAGTCATCTGAAGGAATAATTGTGTAATTAATCAGACTAATCAGAAGACTGGTTAGAAAACAAAATAATAAAGCCAGTCAGGTCTTGTTTAAATCCAGCATAAAAATAACAGTCAAGTAGAACAGAAGACCTAAACATTACACTGCATAAAAAGTATTTCTAGTTGCCTTTCCTTTGACAAAGCTAAATCTGTGCATTTAACATGAACAACATCATTGCTAGGCTTGTTTGTTTGTTTGTTTTAAAAAGAGTGCTTTAAAAAAGTTATTTCAAAGCAGTGGAAGCAGTAGTTGGTTTTAACCCAGCTGAGGTCATGACTGATGGTTGTGGTTGACTGATGGTTGTGGTCTCCTGTAGATCTGTCAGTCAGCAGGAGCTGGAGAGCTCGAGGAAGATGGCACAGCCCAGAACAGAGCCATGCCCAGAACAGAGCCATGCCCAGAACACTGGTGCATCATTTCTTAAGAAGACCTGACAGATCTCTTTTTATTCACAAAAAAGCAACTCATTTATCCCCCACCCATTTGGGGCACAGGTCCTGTAGGGTGAGGTGAGGAGTAGGAGGGTGTACCTGACCTTTTGGGCTCCCATGAACAAGACCACCTTCAGCAGGTGCAGGAGACTCACGAACTCTCCCAAACTCCGCTGCTAAAAGTCCCTCTGGTTATTTTGTCCCTGCAGCCAGGAGCTCAGGGTGGATTCAAGCCTATTCTACTCCTACCTGTGCCAACACTACGGCATCTTGGAAACTATTTGTGCCAAAGAAACTCCAGCAGTCTGTGCTGGAGGGGTCCCCAGAAGAGCCCACAGGGGCCAGTGCTGACTTCTGGCTATGGAATAGCGACTCCCATGGGATTGCAGTCCTGCCTGGCCAAGAGATGTTGACTTTACTATGTTCAGCCTGAGTTGTCTTAGTGCTGAGTTTCTGTGTCAAAGCATACATTTACAAACAGTTCAGGATGGGAAAAAGAAAAGTAGGCACTGAGTTAAAGTCTGTTATCTCCTAAAAATGAGGGCAGAAAAAAAATTATCCCAACCCTACAGAGGCGCCTGACCAAAGGGAACTTGGCAGGGTGAGGGTTTGCATCACTCCAGCAGAGCAAAAGCCATGGGGGCAGAGTCCTTGGGTGGTAAAACAGAGGAAGATTCACACTGGATGAAAATGGTTTTCTTAAAATGATAACAGCGATACAGTGGTATGGTATGTCTTTTATTGGCAGCTTGTGCCAACACTTGAATTTTAGAAAAAGTTGCAAGTTATTACAAATACTTTCCAGTACATTATTATTTTTTAATTTAGAGAGTGCAGTCGTCAGGTCTACCCTGCAGGTGTGTTAGATGCCTGCCTTTGGACAGGCTGAGTTAGCAGATTCCTAAGAGATTACATACTCACATAAACATCATCTGTCAGGTCTCCCTGTCAGGCTTCAGACAGGTAATTCAAGTGACCTTTATACCATATCACTCTGAGGCAATCCACACTTAGTGAAAATTAGGTGTCTGAATAGCAGTATGGTATCTATACATGACCTGTCTCTGCACCCTCTTCTAGCTCATTCCTAGCTCCATGTGAACATACCTGAGGAGCTGAGTTTTTGTTCCTGTGTGTGCACTTAGAAAAAAAATATACAGTGCCATAGCTGTAATTGCAGACTCAGTTACACCCCTATCCCACAGTGTACCAAACTAAGGTAACCTTGAGGCTTATACAGGAAGTGACACTGCTCATTAACATTTCCATTTAATTTCTGACTTTCAGACTTTTTAGAGGAGAATGTTAGAGATCAGAAATAGCATTAGCACCAAAACTGTCTGCTGCTGGATGGAAACACTGAGAGTGTTGATCAAATGTAAGCTGTACTGGCTGTGCCTTCCTTTGGTTTGAAGTGCAGCTGACTTTGTTCTCCTCCCAGTGAAGTGCCTGTTTTCATATTCAACTCCAGAACTGCACTGTCACAAAGTATTTATAAGAGACCTTTGAGCTGCAGCAGTGTTTACATTTTTTAAAATCTCCTCTTTTATAAATTAAAACAAGAGAAAAAAACCAACTTTTGGGATCCTCCTACTTTGCCAAGTAGCCTTTTGGGAAAAACTTCCCGCAGTGCAGTAAGAAAACGTTCTAACAAACTCAAAAACACACATTAAATTTCCATGTGTTTGAATGTCCTTTAAAGGAGACTGTTTCAGGTGTTTATTTATGAGATTCATACTTAGACAAGAAGGTGGCAGGAAAACGGTTCTAGGCTTCAATTTAATTTTAAAGGAATAAAGACTTTTATTCTGCAAGCAGTTGTTGCTGCAGTGGTCATTCTTTTTAAGGCAATGGGCATCCCATCTAACTCAGAATCACAATAACCCTCCTATTCTCCTAAGCCCTTCTGTTTATTATTGTTAAAATAAAGCCTTTAAAGCCTTTAGTAAACTTGCAGCCTAATCCTGCTGACCCTAATTCTTACTCATGTGCACAGTCCAATTAAAATTAGTTGGGCTAAATGGAACAAATTACAGTCCTTTGGGTCGGCGTGATCCAGTTGCTATTTATGCTGTTTGCTTTCATGCACACTGCTGCTGGATTCATTTGGAATGCTTGACCTGGAGTAATTATTTTCTTGATTACTTCAGAACTTAATCTTCACAGACTGTAATAATTTTATCTGCAGACGTTAAAATATTCCGTGGTTGTTTTTTTTTGGTTTGAGTTTTTTTTTTTTTTTTTTTTTTTTTTTTTTTTTTTTTCTGAACATCTGCAGTTTCCTTGTTTTGCTGGATTTTCATATCAGGGCAGATATTTTTACTTAGCTACTGAAAAATCTTGAGAACAGAGATAATGAGGATAATGCTGCTTCCTGTTATTTCTATTTCCTAAAAAAAAAATAAATTCTTCATGGGATATATTAGAATGTGCACAAGAGCCAATTCTGAGAATTGATGTCACTTTTAAAAGTTTTATAGGGCTTTAGGAGGAACAGACATGGAAAATACATGAGAAAATTCCCCAAATATCCAGTAATTTTTGTTTCTTTATTAAAAACTGGGATATTCTTCAGTAAATTTCCTAATCATCCAGCACTTCCTCCACTTTCAGGCATCTTCTTCCTTTTGCCACCACTCAATCTGTTGCTGTATGACTTGAAGCAACACATGGTTGTGTAGATGTCCAGTTTTTGTGAAAACATCTCCTGGGATTAAGAAACAAGAGGGAAAACCAGCATGGCTGGCATTTTTTTTTTCTAAATAGAAGAGGCAAAACAAAACTCTTTGCTCAGACAACAGAGCTCTCCAGTTCCAGCTGTACCACTGTTTTAGCTGTTAGAACGCTGCAAGGGCAAGTCCTTACTTTGAGCTGACCAGTGATTTTTCATCTTATTTGCTCCTCTAGGTGGGACTGAAGGTGTTTTTTGGCAGACCAGGCCAGTGGTTTGGAAACAATGACAATGACGGTGACAAAATGTCAATCTTCCATGACCTGGATGGCTCAGTGACAGGGTACCCAAACACCTTTGTGGGCAGAGCAGACAACTACCTGCTGCGTCATCCCGGGTGTCTCACTGTCCCACGCTGGAATGGGGTGATGTGTACAGGGAAATTCGCACAGGTAACGGGGGGCAGCTGCTGGCAGCACCACGGGGTGTGCAGGGTGGGCATCCTCAGTCTGTGAGGGGTGATGGAGCGAAGTGTCCTCAAATAGTCTGTGAGATAAGAGCTGAATGATAAATTTGGCATAATCTTACTCCTTTCAGTGTCGTCTGCCTAATTCCAAGGAGTCAGTAAAGCTCCTGCTGTGCAGTTGCCTGCTATAAGGAGCCCCATCTCCTCCCATTGCCCACAAGAGGCTGCAAGTTGAAATTGTGTTGGAGGAAAGTTTGGTGTTTTCTAGTTCCAGGCATTTGTCCACTCTGTTGTGGGATTCTAGTGGATAGTTCTGGTGAATCAAGTTTCAGTAATGGAAGATGTTACTTCTCTGGTACACCCTACTTGTGTTCAGGATGGTGAAACGGGTGGTTGAGATGAAAACCCCCACTTATTTCCCATCCAGAAATCACTGACTGAAGGATAGTCAGCCTTAGGTCAGGATGATCTTAAACCTTCACAGCAGTGAATATCCAAGGTATGTGTGTCACCTTAAGCTAGAAGAAATTGTATGTATTTGTTTTAGTTGCACAGCAGAGAGCAGGAGTTGCTATTTAAGTATCTAAACATTGGACTTAAAAAACCCTGGTGTGCTTTGGCTAGGCAGAAACAGGACTGGGCTCCTCTGAAACACACCCATTGGATTAGGGCTTTGTCCTTGGCACTTAGTTTTGCTCTGTTTCTCTAGAGAAATGGTCAAACCTACTCTGGCAACCCAACAGTTAAATTCAGAATTGCAAATAAGTAGGCATTTATGCTTTTATTTCTATTAATATACTCCTGGTTATGGCATTCTACTTGGTGAGGAAGTTTTTCCACCATAGAAAATTTCCTTGGCTAGGTTTAGGCAAGCATAAACATTTGCTTCTCTGGGATCCATTACTTACCAGAGTTTTTCAACTCATCAGCATCCAGCAGGATGAGTAAAGGTCATATTAAATGCTTCACTTTATGGGTTTTGGGGAGGGAAATATATGTATGTGCAGAAGAAGCATGTAGAAGAAATTGGTCCTGTGCAGCAGGGTTTGATTAATTTGAAAAGTATAATTGTCAGAATATTTCAGCTTAACTCTGATTCTCAGCACCCTGAGTAAGTGGTGATTTGTTTACTTGCTAAATTCTGAGTGTCATACTTCAGATCAAAAGCCTAAAACAGTGAATCCGATTATAGAGAAAGATGGTTTGCTTTGATCTTAGCAACTTTATTACAAAATCTGTTTTTCTTTTCCTTTTCATGTAGCTCTGGTAGACAAGAAATTTTATTCTTCCCTAGTTCAAGCAGGTGAAAATGTCCTTTCAGCTGAAGGAAATACTGACTCCTATGTTACTGCTGAATAGAGCCCAAGATAGTCAATCTAGGGATGGGCTACTTGGCATGGAAAACTGAGATCCAAGTCCTTCAGCTAACATTGCAGGCAAATCCTTTCTGAGCTAAGTGCCTAGAGTACAGTTAATTCCTTTCTGCTTGGTTTCTTTCATTCCCATTTCATGCTCCTCTTCTCCTGGATGTAATTTGCCCAAGAAAGGAAACGCCTGGGGAAAAACAATTCCTCTGGCAGTGTTTTTAGCTCCAAAAAATCCTGGGGACAGGCTTTCCTGAGGGTGTTTTAATCTGGCAGCTCAGGCTGACATTCTCACCCTCTTATGGTTAGTTCTTGGCCTTCCTCCTCACTGTCTCCAAGCAGCATCATGCCATGTTTCCCATGTGGTGTCCAAGACCTTCCTTGAGCAGGGAGCACTAAATAATATCTCATGCTTAGGCTTCTTTGGTAGCCTAAAAAAAAGGCTAACAAAGAAGGGTTCTGGGACCAGCTGAAAATCATGAAATTCACATAAGCAAGAACTATCAGGTCTTTCTGTCCTCCCCTTTTGCTTCTGGAGCCTGTAAGGTTGCTGTTGTCCAGATAAGACCAACCCCTTTGCTCTTTAATGATAGTTGAAACTCTCATGTTGTAATGTAAATAAAGCAAGGCTTTGAGGAGGAACATTAAATAGAGGGAGACTCACAGGGAAATCCCAAGAGCTGTCAGCTCCACATCTTCTGGCAGTCTCTGTGAGTCACTCAGATTCCATCATCAGGGCACTGAGGTCCTTGGTATTCTGTCAACCTCCCTGTTGCAAAAGCCAGTAATAGAAAATGTAGGGAGAGACTCATTTCATAGTTCTCTTCATGTAGGTGTGTGAGATTTCCAATAGCAGTGAACTGGGACTCCTTGGCACCTCCATTACTTGTTAAAATGTAAATTAGATTCCTGAACCTTTTCTGATTTTTATATAAATTTTAAGACAAGTGCCTTGGCTCCCACTGGGCAGTTGAAGCTGTGCACTTACTACTTGCCCGCAGACTTCACAGCAGCTCACGAGGGGAGGTTGTGGAAATTCTCCTTTTTGGTATTATTCTTTATTAAAATAAGCAAAGTTTTTGGCAGTATGTGCTATTTTCTTTTATAAGCTTAAGAAGGTGTTAGACAGTCATAAGAGACTGCCACATAGCCAAATTAGTGTCAGCTTTGAATTAACAAAAAATGGATGCCTTGCAATTCTAAAATACCTTAGGAAATGCTGTTGATTTTGCACCAGTTCACTTAGTCACTACCAAACTGCAGTTGGCTGAAATAGAAATTGTTCCATTTTTGTTAACTCTGTTCTTTCAGTGAATGTTTGCAATTGCACTGATCTTGCACCTCCAAGGTTTTGTGGACTGGGTATCTCTGTGGCTGCTTTTGCTACTGATGCTCCTAAATGTACAGCAAGCAAGAGATGCAGGACGTAGCGAGTGGGGCTTTTCTAACCCCAAGGAATCCATACAGTCCCTGGGTATCTGTGGTGCTTGAGGATTATCAGAACCTCACAGACTGTGAAGAAAGAAAAGCCTGTGAGGTGGTGTCTGTTTTCAGCTTATGGTATCTGTTTTTGGACAAAGATGTCCAATTTCGATCTCTGATGTACACCAATTAAAACTCAAAGTAGTTTTCCTGGTGTCAGTGACACCCCAGCATGTCAGAGAAAGCAAACTACATTTTTTAATTTCTGCAAGAAAGAATTTTTAAAGTATTTACTTGGAAATTTCATCAACAAAAGGTTTCTCCCTAAGAAATTAACCTTTTTTGAACAGTCAGTCAACCAGAAAGAAGATATGTTTTGAGCTTCTCATTATTAAGGTGTTTCTCCCCAGCTTGATAGCTGACAGCACCACAGAACAAAAGCAAGGGTAAAGAAACTAGAAAGCAAGAAAATGTTTTCTCAGAAACCAAGACTGTCAGTTCCAGTACTTTGCATGTTGCTTATCTCCATACTCAGTATCCAGTTGAATAGCAGATTCCTCTGAATTGTAAAGAACTTATCTTCTCAGTTTCACAATCTACTCGGGAAAATTGCCATGTAAGCACAGGGAAATCTGACACATCTCTTTAGCATGAAGTGTTAAGCAGCTAAAATAACAACTATGTCCATTAAACCATCTAGGCAAGTAGAAGGTTCACATTTTATAACATTTTAACCAGCTTTTCTTCTTCTATTACATTAAGTTGTCACCACTTCTCATATTGTAAAATCTCTTTATGACCCACTTTCTTTTAAAGATTTTGATGGAGTCAACCAAAAATTGTGGAGATGTTGCTAAGGAGGATGGATTTTAATTCTGGAAAGTGGATGGATTTTTCACTCCAGAGTCCTGTTGACTTAGTGATGCTCCCTGTGGGCAAAACAGGCTCTTCACACAGAATCTGGATTGATTAATCAGGGCATTTACCTGCTGGGACCTCCTCTAGTGAGAAACATTTTGCAAGATCCACCAATCCCCACGGGTCTGAAAATCACATCCTCAGTGGCTGGCAGTTCTGGAAGGCAGTCACTCAGTGGCTACCGGTGGTGACTGCAGGAGACAAGTCATTTTACAAATGTTTCTATAACACATATGTGACATTTTTCCTTGTTCTGGTAATTACCGTTTCATTCTCAAAACAGCTGTGACCATTATCCTTAATGTCAGACCTGTGATTTGGTGCCTAGGCCTCTGGAGGAAAATGTTATCAACAAATCTGTGACATGCTTTCCTCATCATCTTACTGAAGCATTCTGCAAACTCTTCCTGCCCTTTTTTGGACTCATTAACCATAGTAGCAAGCATCTTAGGCCACGCATACCTTGCTGTCTTTTTTTTTCCCCTCTTTACACAAACAGCTTAAATTACATAGGAATCTTTTGTTCTTGGTAGTCTGTAATTTAGGAAACTTTGGGGATCATTGAATGCACCCCATTCTTTTCTTGGTTTATTCTATCATTGGTCCATTTAATTTTGTAGTAAGTTCATTCCAACTGTTCTTTGTTAGAAAATACTGTTTTGATTGAGATAAATTAATATACTGATGGGATTTCAGATCTAACCCCACGCTCTGATCTCAGTATTTCCCCATCCCCATGTAGCCAAATGAGATTGAAATATGGTTCATTGTATTGCATGTTACTTTCCAATTGTGGTTTGCATATGAATGCAAAATAGGTTTTTCTTCTTGGTCTCATAGATTAAAAAAAATCTTTTATCAGACTGTGCAAATAATTTATTCTTCCTTGATCCATCAAGAATGAACAAATGGGCTGTGTCCAGAGATTTGTTTGGAGAGAATTACTTGATCAATTCTTTCAGCCATCAGGAAAAATTTATGTCAAGGTCATTCTGGGATTCACTTTAATCTTTGAGGGTCTGCAGACATCACTCAGGATAGCTTCTCATCATTAACATGTAATGGTGTGAAAGGAGGAATGGACTGAATAGCCAAGAAACATTTACAACCACTTTTGGATTGCTTCTTTGACATGAGACCCAAATTTTTAACTTGAGCATTCAGCATGAGGCTGCTGAATTCAGGGGTGAGACAAAGGGTAGACAAAGATGGCCTGTCTTTTGGAGGTCCTGAGGAGCTCAAACTCAACATCAGGAACAGGCACAACCACAGAGTCCTTCTGAGCATGGAACTGGAACTGGGAGCTGAACTCCCCAGAATCCCCAACTAAAATAAGCCCATATATAGACCAGTGAGAGATAGTCTGGTTTTGCAGAGCTTTTGGTTTGTGTAGAAAAGAGGAAGAGAAGCAGATGTGGAGATGTGAGGGCCCTGCATTGTAAGGCAGATACCCTGATAGATGGACTCATGATCTCTCTGCTAGTCTTGGCTGCACTTGTGTCCTTGTGGAATTAAAATCTGATAAGAAACTACTGCCTCCATTTAGATCTACCTCAAAGACACAAATGGAGTTTAAAAATAATTTTGATGGATGTATGCTCATGTGGAAGCTTAGACATTCCTGAGCTACCATGGATTTTTGTGTTGGATGTTTTAAGTTCTTGATGCAAAGAGCCTTATTCTACGCTGCGGGAGAGTGAAGGCAGCAGGATTATAGGTGTCCTCATCTGTCCTCAGTGCATCTGAAACCCTTCAGGGAATATGACAAGCTGCCTGCTACAGCCTTGCGTGCAGAGACAGATTTATATGACTAGCTGTGCATCCTAGTTTTGCACTGGAATTTCACATGGCAGAAAGCAGGGGAACATCATGCGTCAGCCTAAAAACTAATGTTTGCCACATGAACTGGCCTTCATTTGAGTGATGGCAGGGCAGAAAAAGCATGCAGCTGGAGTGTGGTTTTGTAATTGTTGTGTAGAGTTGAGCTACAGGTCAGAGGCATCTGTTGGTCTGTGCACAGAAGAGCTTTGCTGAAATCTGTGGAATACGGTATTTAGTCTATAAGGTCATATAGTCAGGCCAATGATTTTTAGCCCCCAGAATTTCAGCCTAGTCTGCTACTTGAGAGTGAAGATGTGGATTCCATTAGATACCTGGACCTAATCCAAAGCCCATTGAAATAATTTCAGCTTTCTGTATTTTCAATGGAATAAGCCTGTTTTTAAAGTACAGTTATTTGAATTCATAAAAAAGAGTTACTCTGCAATACTTCCGTGATTACCCTTCTCCCTAAAGATTTTGAATAGTGAACATTTTTATGGCACTGTACAATTCATATCTCACTTCATGGTGTCCCCACGGATGGCTGCAGATGCTATTTCTGGTTTACCTTTTTATTTGAACTGGAAATGTTTCAGTGACTTTCCAAATGCTCTGAACTCTTCATTGGCAAAAGCCATTTACAGGCAACGATGATCAAATGCACATGTAATGGCTGTGCCTGCTGGTTTAATGGATGTGTTTGTCATTTTCCTTTCACCCTCAGCTTTATATCCAGGCCAGACGCCCCGAGAACCTGACCTTGTCCATTGCCAGAGCAGCCTACCCTTCCCATCCTGTGAGGCTGCAGGGCGTGAACAGAGGAGCACCGTACCAGCAGTACCAACCTGTCGTCATGCTCGAGCAGGATTATGTCATCCAGTGGGATGGCAGAGCACCTGAGGATGTTATCCTGTACCCCATCAACTTCAGCAGGTACTGCCCTGTGCTGTTTTCAAAAGGTCTGGAGCTTTATAATTTTTCCAGGTTATTCACAAGTGACCTTTCAAAGGTCTCAGCAAGTTCTGAGAGTGTGGAAGCAAGGTGTTAAAGGTTGGCACTTACTGATGCAGGGAGATGCTTCTGCTTTCACTTTATTCCAGCTTTTTTTGATGTGCAGAGATGTTTCTCTTTCCAGAAAGTTTTGAAATAGAATCCAAATAAGTCCTGGCTTGCTGTCCCTGAAATCCCTCCAGAAGAGCTCTGGCTCTGGTTCATTTGTTTGTACTGGTTGCTGCACACATAATTTATCTCCCATATATATAAAGTGCAGAAATATATCAGAATGTGCTTAAAACTTTACATCTTCTGTAATCCAAACAGCATTGGAATCACTGTTTCTTTTTAACTAAAGTTTTAAAATGTTAGGTTTCAGCACAGCAAAATTGCAGGCTGTGCTGTGTTTATTTCCCATGTTTTCTTCTAGCATTATATAAAGACAGGGTATATCCATTTTAGACGCTACTTTTGTCCCTTGCAATCTGTTTCACTTTGCATAACTTAAGTTATGGTTTTTAGTACTGTTCTTACTTCAGTGAAATTACTTGTGCTTTGCACTGGTACCACTGTTAGGACAGAGTCCTGCAACCCAGTCAGCTTAGCAGGGACGTGCATTGCCATGGTCTGCACAGAGGAGATGCTGCAAGGGATGAGCACCACAAGAAAGCCTGGCCATCACCTTGGGTTCTGCAGTTTGTGTGAGTCCTTGGTAATTGGCAAAAACATACTACAGTAAAAGAGAGAGGTTTGTAAATGAAACCTTACATGATTACACACAACAGAGGCTCGGGTTTCCAAAGCAGGTTTTAGATAGTTGGAATGAAAGAAGGCAGAGGCACTGAGGGCGTGAAGCAGCACGTACTGCTGGTGAACCTGGAAGGTTCCCAAGTCCCTCCAGTATTATCCACAAAAACCCCACACCCATCCACTGCTCCTCCAACAGAGTCTCCCTGCTGTGGTTTTAGCGTAGGATAGTTTTGGCAAAAGCTTGAGTTCTATTTGGTTCCTCTGAATCTTGGAGCTGAGAAAATCTGGGGGAAAAATACTGTCCTTAGTTCCCACTATGAAGCCCTGTGGGAATGGACCTGAGAAGGGCAATGTTTCCTCTTTAAACATGCCCATTCCAGCAAGTGACATCCAGCTGGTCCTCTTGATTTAAAGATGTAGTAGTTGCAGGGCCATGACTGAGTCTCTAGATGATTGGTGTTTGGGCACTCCTGTCACAGGGGAATTATTAGAATTAAATCAGTGTTTTCTGTATTAATATATCTTTGTGCACTTTAAGGAAGAGGAAAACCCATTAGTCACTCACGGACAAGCTGAGCTTTGCAATTATTATCTGTCTTAAAATGGTGAGCTATTTCCTTGCAATTACAGAGCTAAATCTTCTGACAAGTAACTGGTTGCTCTGTCACTGTGCCAATCCATACTTGCCAAAGCTTTGGCCCAGAGTCTTCAGACACAGATTTAAATTTGAAGGCAGCACTGAGTCTCTGGTCGATCTCAGCTTGAATTTTAGCTCTTATTCAAACAGCAACTTTAACTACATTTTACTATTGAAAACCACAATGCGGTTGTGGTTCCCTTTGTCTTGTTTGAAACAAGTTATTTGAACTGGGCAAAGGTTTGTAAAGTTTTCTGATCCAGAAACAGTTGGCAAGATATCTGTTTTGAAGAATTATAAACAAGAAGTATACTGTAACAAAGGAAAACCACAGTTTTACTTAATTTCATTTAGAGCATCTTGCTAAGAAATAATTGGCAACGAATTGTGTGGCTGCTCTGTCTACACCTCAACTATGCTGGATGCTCACTAATGTGAGACTTCAGGCTGATGCAACAGTGAAATGTCCAGACTGCATGGAAAAACATGGAGAAAATAGATTCCTGCGGAAGGGTAAAGGAATTGAAGCAAAAAAAGAGGCTTTAGGAGTTTGAAGGAAAACAAGGGTCTGCCTAAGCAGTTCCACGTATGACTTTTACTAAACATTGTATTTTAATCATTTCTGGAGTAGAAGAAATCTTGGATTGTGGAACCCAGAGTAATCAGAGATAAAAAACCAGGGAAATTATTTTACCTGTCCCAAGTGGCTTTATGTTTCGTTTGTTCTTTTAAAATTCATAATACTGAATAATATCCCAAAAATGAACTCTTAATATCATAACATCTGTGCCAAGTATGATGCAAAACAAATCGTGTTTGATGAACTTTAATAGCAATATTCTAGGATTAATAATTTCAGACAAAACCTGAGTGAACAGTTAAACTGTTGGAAGGCTATATCTGGGATGCTGCCTTTGCAGCTAGGCAGCCCTCGTGCTTCTGGAGTGATTTGCTCTGTGCTGGCTAAAGGAAGGTCAGAGGGGAAATAAGGAATTTGACAGGGAGATGTGTACCAGGATTGGGATTTCTGTGCAGGTCAGGTACAGCACTAATGTTGAATACTTTCATGATTAACACTTTACCTGCCCCTGAGCCACTGTGGAAAGACTCAATAGAAGTCATGCCAGTCTGTTGGAAGACTGGAACGCCCAGATTCCTGGGGTGGGCAGGAGCTGGTCGGGATGAATTCACATGACTCAGCTGAAATTGGCAGCTGTGAGCTGCAAATCTTGTCCAGTGAGTTCAGAGGCACCGCTCGGGTGGATTTGCTCAGCAGAGGAGGACACCACCTAGAGCAGTCACCCAGCAGATCTTTTTCTTGTGCTTTCTAACCTCTTTCTTTCTATCTTGCTGCAGTACTTGTGTCTTCCTTGCACTGATTCAAACCATGTTTAGAGTAATCCTTCCATTTCTTCGCTTCCATCAAAATATGTGGCTAAACCAACAGAATTGCTGTGTCTCCACTCGCTGCCCTGTGGCGCAAAGGGGCTTTTTGATGCCTGCCGGTGTCGCTCCCGGGCAGGGATGGACTGGTTTGCATTTGCCAGGGTAGCTGTGTCTCTCCTTGGCTTGATGGGCAAACATAAAGCCACGGTGGAGACCCACAGGCTCTGTTTTCAGGCTGCTGGGGAACATTGCTGGCTCAGCAGAAATGCCTGTTTATGCTATGGACCCGGTTGTCTGTCTAATGGCTGGGAGTCTCCCTGTGAGGATGAGAACATGGATGGGTATTGATGCTTCTGGAAAGAGGCAGTGTAAGACAAGTAACTTCTAAATGTTTTGGCGAGTGAACAGAGGGAGAGCACAGGCTGGAATTTTAATGACTAGGAATGAAGTATGCTTCAGAATCAGCCCAGATTTGTTGAGGGTGTTTTTCAGGGCAGAAAGTGTGTGCAAAACCTTCATGAACCCTCAGACCCCTTCTCCATGGGTTTTGTCTCTTTGTTGGAGTGGTTTTCACCTTCTCTGCCCCCTCAGAGCTGTTTGTATTTTTCCATTTGTTGTATTTGGTTTTTTGGGGGTTTTTTGCTGCTTCACAGAAGTATGAGAGTTATCTGTAAAACTGAGTTAAGGGCTTTCCTCAAAACTATTATCCCAAAGAACAAAGGTCCACAGAGAACATTAAGCTTGTTACAAGACAGGGGAGAGGTTGGTAAGTCAGGAGAAGAGGATGGAAAACATAATTTGGTTGCAAGTAAGTGCCTTCTTTCAGGAGCTGGAGAACAGTACAAAGATTGTCACTTCATACATTAATCAAAGTCAGAAATGAAGTCCTTCAATTTAATGACTCGGGCTTTGTGCCTGTGCAAATTTTCTAATCACAGAAGAAGCGAAGGTAAATACTATTATCAAAGGCACAGGGCTGTTCCATAAGTCAGCCAGACTTCTTTGTGCTATCAGCACATCTAAAGATAAGAACGAAATCTCCTCAAAGCACATATCTGAAGTATAGTGTAATACGTTGTGTTGTTGGAGTGGCCAGAAAGCAGTGGCAGCTAGATTAAGCATTCCTTGCTTTTAATGAGGACAGAGAAATACCTCTATACCTGGTCTGCTAAGGCTCAGAGGGAAGGGTTTTCCCTTGTTAGGGCTCTCTGCCATGGTTTGACAGGGCGAATTCAGGGAACTGTGAGCAGTTAATAGTATAAAGAGGGTGGGTTTTGTAGGTGGATTGCCAAAGTCTTGCAAGAGGGGGCTTTTCTTTGTAATGCATCTCTCCTGCCAGATGCTGGCTCCAAGGACAGTGCCGAGCAGGATTTCCCAGGCTCTCTCCATAGGTACCCTTTGAGCTTTGTCTGGAGGGGCACAGTGAGGCTCATCGTATTGGTGTTCTTTGGTGCCTTGATGCAGGAGCTGGATCTTTATGAGAGTCTTAAAAAAAAAATAAATTAAAAAATAAAAAAGGCAGGGAAGGCCCAAATTTCTTTTCAACAACAAGCAAAAGGGCAGATGCCCATGTGTGTGCCCAGGCACGTGTTCAGCCTTTCCCCTGCTGCGGTGTTTGTGCAGGGATGGGCATGGATTCACTGCTCAACTCCCGTATTTGCTAGGCTGAAGACCTGTGCTTGGGCTTGTTATCTTATTCACCAGTGAATAATCTTAATTGTCTGAAAATTCAAGAGCCCAGAATGAGCTTGGGTCTAAATTTTTCATTAAAAATACTGTACCCTTTCGACCTTGAGTGGTACAAAGCCTCCAGGATGCTGCAATCCATCCAAAGGTGGAGATTTCAGTGCAAGGAAACTCACACAGCCCAAGTCTGCACTGAGACTCTGGGGGACTCATTATGTTTGTATTTGCCAAGGTTGTGTAGGTAGGTTTTTTTCCTATGGCTTATTATTCAATGCCAGTCTGATTCATACTTTCAGCTACTTGTCATTTTTGTGATTAAATTCCTTAGTGGTGATAAGGTCTGGAGAAAAACAAAGATAACAAGACAAGGCTAGAATGTGCTCGTGGCAGTCTTGCCCAGTTTAGGGATATTTCCTAAATTGTTTCTTTTTCAGATTAGCTTGAAATGAGCTTTTCCTCTTGCTTCCCAGATTGATAAATG